GGTTAGGATAAAAACATAAACTTTATGAGCCATTCCGCAGGAGGTTGACTCTCATTCTTTAGTTGTGTCTGGGTCTAGCCTGTGCCTGTGCATGGGCATGCGCATTCGCATTCACATTCTCATGCTACATGCTTTAATTTTATTTTTAGCCAATACGGAGACGGATGCGGATGGAGATGGGGATGATGCTGATTCCTTTAAGCCTGCCCTAGCTCTTACGGTGACAGTGGGGAAGCGGGATTTTGAGGGGGAGAGGGAGAGGGAGAGGGAGAGGGAGAGGGAGAGGGAAAGGGAGAGAGGGAGAGGGGAACAACAAAAATTGTCCACGCGCGGGAAGTCGGAGGGGCGTGTTGCCCGGATCTGTCCAACGAGGAGGAGAGCCCAGGCCAGACCAGACAGACAGACGTTGGTTACTGGAACTACAACAACAAGAGAACAAATTATTTATTACAATTTTTTCAGAAAGGGATAAGATTAAGAGTAAGAATAAAAAGCAAATATGGGAGTACGCGGCAGGGAAAGAGACATGCGACCGGCGCCAGGGGAGGGAGGGAGGTCTGGAGAAGAATTAGGCATTAATGCCGGCTGCTCTTATTAGTTGTTAAGGATGGAGTGGCAGAGATGGCGCGGTGACGGCGTGACCACACCCAAGGCAGCGAGCGGCCAGCAGAGGAAGAAGGGGAGGAGGAGTGGAGGAGGGGTTGGAGGGTTGGAGGTTTCCACGAGGCTAAGCAGGTTGGGGGCAGGCTGACCCTGCTAGCCCATCCGTCGTGGAAGTAAGTGGAAATACTCGCCCCATTGGAGAGAGATGTATGTCCTCAACTTAGTGGGAGAGTTAAATGCAGCGGAACTAACCGGGCGGGATAAAAACCTTCAATCGTTACGGAGTATTTGAGGGTGGGATGGGAAAGCCCCAATACAGAGTACGGGTATGATACATACCATACATACCATCCACCATGCAATACGGGTATGTATGTTTGGGTATGGTAAGTTACAGCAACATGACCCTCTTCCATGTCTCCGTCTCCGCCGGGCATTGGACGTCGAATGGGTGGGTGGTTTGGCCTACCCGGGTTCTCAGCGACCAATCTCCACCTGACGTTGGTTCTGGGATTGGGGGCATAGGCTCAAGTGCAGTAGTTACAGCCCGTAGGCCTTCGAAACCAACATAACTACCAGGGTAACTTCTCCATGGTCTGAACCGGCAGCACCGAACCGCAGCCTTTTTGATCAAAAGCGAACTGAGAAGGATTTACTACTTCGTGGATGAAGGAAGGGGTTGTTGGTGGTGGGGGGGGAGGAAAAAAAGGGGGGGGAGGGGAGAAAAGGAGGTGGGGGGAAAAGGGTTGCTGCTAAGGAACGGGTGCGTGAACAGACAGAGTCATCCGTTCCTATGATGGTGGTAATATGGACTCCGTATTATGCATATACGATACCACCACCATCCAAACACGCCTGGCGAGTCTCTGGGAGCGTGAGGGGGAGTCCGGCGAATCAGCGGGCGAGAGGCATGGACAACTGGGGAGGGGAACCTGCTACTGCCCCGCCACTGCCACCCACACCTTATACAACCGTTACAACCACACAGGCACACCCCACACGTCGCACCACCCACCAGGGACAAACCATCCATTCCTGTAACGACCTCAAGGGCTGGTAGATTAGATTTCACCTCCACTCAACCAAGAGTAAAGGAGGGAAAGTAACAACCGACAAACGCTCTGCGCCGGCAGAAGGATCCATGTCGGGTTGTTTGGGATGAAACCGAGCACCCAAAATGATCACGGATCATGCGGGCGCCATCGGAAACCACTTTGGGAACCGCGCCGGGGGAGGGAAGCTTATGGATGGGTGTGTCATGCCTACTTCCGATTGGCGTGGGTGGAAGTAGGTCACTAAACCTGCCACTTCAAGCCACCGATGTTAAATACACATACATACATACAGACAGACATACAGGAATGGAATGAAAACGACCACATTATTACTTAATAATATTTACGGTGCGGTAACTAGTTACTTCAATTCAGGAGCAACACACTTCGGTACGGGAAGGGGGGGTTTTGGCAATTTAGTTACAGCCTCGAGGAGGTGGAGGTGGAGGTGGGGGTGGGGGGTAAGGTCTAATATCTCAACTATATGTAACTCTCCCAAGAATCCCCTGATGGCGGGAATGAATTCTCAATGTCCGCGGGGAAATTTACGTGCCGAATCTACCTACACCAGGCAAAGTGCGCACCTACGGGATATTCAAAATATCACTTTTTTCTTTTCTTTTCTTTTCTTTTTTTTTCTTTTTTTTTCTTTTTTTTTTTTTTTTTTTTGGATTTCTCACTTTGCTTTTTCTTCATTCTTTGTTCTGCCAAGCCCAGCTGCAACCACCTGCGCTGGAGCAAGAAATACCGCTCACGGGGCACAGCCACAATCAAATTACATTCAGCACATTGCAGATTACAGCCGCCGTACGCACATTCCGTAATTATACATACATGCGGCAACGACCAAGAATGTCATCTATTTATATACCTCCACACCTCCACATCGACATCACCGAACGAGTAGAAAGGGGGAGGTGTGGGGAAACAAAGAACAGACAACCATACTTTCGTACGGGGTAGTCAGTTTAACTACGGAGCACCATCTGAAAAAAATTATGTTACTTGTTACTGGCACAGGAGCCCTACCCTCCCAACCAGCAACCAGCAACCCGCAACCAGCAACTATTAGCCTACAAGCTCCCATTCCAGCCACCTCTCAATAGTCAGTGGTGGTAGGGATGTCTCACGGGTGACGCTCGCTCACCATATCTCTGTAATGTCCTGTTGCTATTGGGCGGAGAAGGGCAAAAATGAAAGGCAAGTATGCCGCGGGTGGAGGTTGAGCGGTTGCAGGTCGGTGCAGGTGGAAAACTGATGAAATGATTCGGATTTATGATATGTGGATCCGTGGACGGGCTGATTGATCAGCCTCGGATGTTTGGATGGTTGGGATCAGTACGTTATCCTAACTACTGCTATAAATATATATGCCATCACTTAACATAGCACTGTTTTCAAAAGTTGCCCCCTATTTATGACGACAGAATACGTTTATTTTATCTCCTTCCCGTCGACGAACAGAATTGGTTACTCGATTTCCAAGCGGCTGTTTTAAACCACCTTGATGCACTTAAAACTGTTCTGTATCCGTAAATCTAATAACCGTATCAGCATGCACTGGAACCACCCCGCATAAAGGCAACAGCAACCAATTTCTTTGTTGCTGCTCCTCCGCCCTGTCTAGTTAATAGATATACTCCCTCCCGGCAAAAGTTACCCCCTTTCCCCTTGCGTTGCTGTTTGCTGTGGCGCCCTACCTGCATGGACACACACAACAACATATTTACAGCATGACACACTGACGGGACGCAACAAACGCAATGGGGCCCACTGATCATCACCGTGGAACAGCTTGCAGCGCTGTGGAGCAGCTTGTGGACCCGTCACTTGCTTGAGAGGTTTTACTTTTCTTGACATGCTGGGAGGATGCCAGTTCTCCATGTAGTTTATTTAATAAGACATATAGAAATATGGTGACTGCAGGGATAGTTTTTTACTCCCTCTTTTGACTGGCTATTGTAGCTATCTATATCCTCTGCTTTCTATCAGGCAAACGGCAGGTTTGGTTGTGCGATATCCTACACCATGTGTGCGGACGGAGAATAAGGAGAATAATCCTCAAAGTAAGTTAACGTGTGTTTTTTGCTTATCTTCTTCGTCCCCGTTTAATCAACAGCTCTGGTCCTTGTCCCGTCTGGGAATATTTTATGTCTGTATGCATATATTATATTATGTCCTCGCTGTGCTAGTGGTGGATAGATGCTTTGTGATCATCCCGCGGGAGCAGTCCCGCTTCTCCGTCAAGTTTCTCGTACTGTCATCCCCCGTCGATTATCAATCATGCCCTTAAGTTTGCCGAACATAGGGCCCGTGCCTGGCAGGGGGAGGGCAAGACAGGGTTTTGTTAAGGTCTGCATGATCATGATCCAATGGAGATTGGTTGCTTGGCTTATTGTGGAGATGCGGTTTTGCGGGTTAGAAACTGCCGAAGTAATCACCCCACATCCACATTGGAGATGGGGATGATAGGCGCCTATATAGCTCCTATGCATGAAATGTGTTTATAGGAGGTTGAGGGAGCAAAATAAAAGACAGATAGATATTCCTTATTCACTCCGATGTTACGTTCGATGTCTGCCGAATTAGCACTGATCCCTGTAGACAAAGCTGACCTTGGGGGCCTTAAACTTCCCTGCAGCTGTAGGTGCTTGAGCCGAAAATACTGGCTTTATATTTTGACAGACAGTCCCATTGACGGAGCTTTAAACACTCGTGAATGCATATATAATATTGGTGTCAATTCCATTCAATTCAATTCAATGCCATGCCGTGCCATGCCATCCAATCTAAAATACTTCAATTCAATCTTATCTTAGCCATCCAAACTCCCATTAAAAAATGATCACCCCCAACCCCTGCACCCTGCCTCTAAAGGACCTCACAACTGAAAACTTAACAACAAATGCAAACCTCATAAACTCCCAATGCCCCTCTCACCGCCTCCGCTACATCCTCTCCCGCCTCGTAACCCACCTACATGACTTCGCCCGCGAAACCCGCCTATCAACTGCAGAATGGTCCGCGGGCCTCCAATTCCTCATCGACGTGGGTCAAACTTGCACAACCCAGCGTAACGAATTCATCCTCTTGTCAGACATACTGGCCCTATCGGCGCTGGTTGACGCGATTGATCATCCCAAGCCACCAGGCGCCACGGAGGGCTCTGTGCTGGGTCCATTCCACACACATGACGCCCCGCAGGTTGAGAATGGGGGTTTACTCTCGAATGATCCGGATGGTGAGTTGATGCTGGTTACTTGTACTGTGAAGGATGGGGCGGGGAATGCGCTGGAGGGCGTTAGTGTAGATATTTGGGAGACGGATAGCAGTGGGCATTATGACGTGCAGTATGCGGAAGGGCAGAGACGAGGCGGGGCAACGGATGGGAGGGGGGTTATGTATTCGGATAAGGCGGGGAGGTTCTGGTTCAAGGCCATTAAACCGGTGTCGTATCCAGTTCCGCACGATGGGCCTGTTGGCAAGTTGTTGGGGGTGTTGAAGAGGCATTCGTATCGGCCGGCGCATATGCATTTTATGTTCAAGAAGGAGGGGTGGGATAATTTGATAACGTATGTTTGTCTGTTCACGTTTAACCCCTGGATGGGATGGATTGCACGTTTGTAATGTTGATTCGCCTTCCCACTCATTTGCTCACTCATTCTTCTTTCCAAAACCTTCCAACTCTCCCTAATCTGTTTGATAAACGTATCTGTTAACTAGAAATAGAGCCATCTACCTCCGCGGGGACCCTTACGAATCCTCCGACGCCGTCTTCGGCGTCAAATCCTCTCTCATCGTCGACCTACACTCACTTACGGATCCAGATGTGGCGAAGAAATATGATGTTCCACTGGGCACGCCTGTGCTGCAGTATGACTTTGTCCTGGTATCAGAAGCTGAAGCGAGTACGCTGCGGGAGAGGAATTCTAAGGAGGCATTGGAAAAATTAGGGTGGAAAGTTAGATTGTTAGATGGGTTGCCGGTGCTTGATGTTGATTGAAGGTGATTGTTCTTTTTTCGGTGGTTGATTTTAGGAGGGTTATGTTTTGTTCCAGTAATATATGGTGTAAGGGAGAAAGCAGATACCGGGTTGATTTCCGGTTTATTTATAAGGTTACGTACATTACCACCAGAACGAAATAAATGTGATATGAATATGAGGAAATACGTAAAGGAGCATCAAGAAATGAGTATAGTTGTATAAAACCATTTCATGCATATACGTACAGAACATACCCTTTGAGGGGTAACACTCAAAACCACCGTCATCGTAAATTTCCTTCCCCTTCAATTATTATGCGACCGAGTTGATCCACACCCCCATCCGCATCTCCATCCTCACTTCCTTCGACTTCCTCCTCCTGCTCCGCCCTCGCCTTCAACCCCCTAATGCCTGTCTCGTCCTCCACCCACCCCCCAATTTCCTCTATCTTCTCTCCATACCCCGCATCAACCCTCAAATACAGCCCCGCACTGAGCGCTCGTTGAACCTTCGCCTCGCGCGCCCCGCTCACAACACCCCGCAACACCCTCACCAGATACTCACTAAGGATATCCACACTCCACTCATCCGGAACAAGCCGGAGGACATCAGCGATATCGTACACAGACGCGAAGCGGGAGAGCAAGTCACTCGTGCGCTCAATGCGTACAGACGGGTCTTCGATTTGGAGAAATTCAGAAAGCAGGTGGATAAAGAGTTCTGATTGCGGTAATTCGGCTTCATTCGTGACGGCTGTGGTCATTGTCGTCAACGTGGATGTGCCACTATATACACAATAGCGTATCGCGGTGTCATAGTCGCTGAGGCCGTGTATGAGGAGGCTAAGGGCTTCGCGATGCCGGCCCTGGCGACCGTCGAGGATTATGCTTTCGGAGACTAGTTCGTTCTTGAATGGTTCTATGCGCGCGAGGACGGTGGAGATGGAATAAGAGAGGTTTGTTGGGGGTTGGGTGGAGGTGAATTGGGTAGTTGAGCCGCCTCCCAGTAGTTGGAGGAGTCGCAGGCGGGACTGCCACCATGGCTCCGGTGGGTGGTTGAGCGTGATGAAGCTGAGGTAGGAGGGTTTTGGGGGTTGAAGGGCGCGGTAGGTGGAGTAGGATTCTGTCAAGGAGGTGCGAGCTTCGGGGGAGGATTCGAGGACGGACAGAACAGTGTCAAGGTAGTAGGCTAAAAGGTCGTCCGTGTATTGGGTATGCTGTAATATAGTTAGCAAAAACCAGTGAGATGAGGAAAGGGGGAGGAGGGAACATATACATGTTTGGAGAAAACGAGATGTTCCAAATATTCCTGAACAGCCCCTGGGGCATGCTTCTTGAGCAGCGCAATTACTTGGGGTGGATTAAATTTCACCCTGCTACTATCGTCTGCGAAGACTTGAACTCCAAGCTTGGGGTTCCGTGCAGCCAGCCATGGCCCGTACTCCTCAACCAGCTGAACATCTCTGATTTTCACCAGATATTTCCGAATCTGAATGTCAGCAACTGCTCCGGACAATTCTCCCCCTTCATCCTTCTCTCCTTCCACGATTCTCCGCCACGTCGACAGAACATGCTTGGCCATTTTCTGGCTTTGGTATAATCGACTGAGCACAAATAGTCTGTTATAGCTTTCAAGTAACTGCACGGCTCTATCAAAATTGCCCTTCCAATTGTCAACAAGCTTGTTGAGCTCCGATCTCACAGAGGCCCCAGGGGTGACATTTCGTTCACGGATATTTTTCGCATCCAGATCAAGAAGTAAATGGAGTAATGCTGCGTCGACACTATTGAACACATATGTCTCATCTGTCACACTCCCATATCCTCGCTTTTTCTGCCAGCCAAGTAGATACCGTTTAAGCAGATGGTTTATGGTATCACCAATGGCGAATCCAGAGGGCTGATCTGTCGCTACTTCATCCGGTGAAATGAGAAATGGTGATATCACTTTAACCAGACCATTATAAACCCAGATCCCTTGTGGACCTTGAAGTACCTCATTTCTAACCAGTGGTATCAAAAGGAGCACCACTCGAGGGTCCAACTCTCCGACAACAAGGGCATCTTCTGTTGCCTTTATTGCAGATTCGTCTGGGGTTGCCATGGTTTGCGAAAGCAAGTCAACAAGGAGAAGTAGACTTGCCTTCTGCCTGACGTAACGTAAACCAAGGTATTCCGTTTCAGTTTTAGGTTCCATACCCCGAAGTCCTTGGATAAGATTTATAATTGCCTCTTTGTCAACACCCCCTTGCTCTTCATCGTTGTTTATGCGTTGCTCAGCAAGTTGAAGAGTGTTATCTAATTGAAGTGCCAACGGGTTCCTCAGGACCCTCCATATTTGGTTCCCCTCCCAAAGAATGATACTACTCTTGACTGTTGCCAGTCCGCGGGCAAATTTGGCTTCTTCTCGGTTTCTCTCAACTTCCCAATCATGACGAGCACGTGACGAAGATGGATGCTTCGAACCGTCAGAGTCGGTTTCCTGACCATCGAAAAGCTCTTTTTCCTTTTGCAAATGTTCAAGGGATGCTTGAGTCCTTGGATCTGTATTCTCTGGCGTTGTTGGGGTTGAAGGTGAGACATTTGTAGCCTTTAATCGAACCATACGCATCACGTCACCGATTTCAGAGAAGGAGATGCTGCTTGGGCTAACAGTATGGCGAATACCAACAGGGGCGAAAGTTAGATCGGCTGGAGGAATCTCTATTGATGTCTTGTATAGTCCACTTCCTTCCGAAACCGTATTCCATCTCTGCACCTCGATAAATGTTCGGCCATCCTCCTTATCGTCAGCACCAATAACTGCCAAAACGTATCCATTCTGACTTTCATCACCTGCACTCGACTGATTTCCCTCATTATCGTTATCGACTACAATAGCTTCCGGGTATTTGGGAAATTCAAGGGTTCCCCGAACGACATCACCATCGACATTTACGAACATACCCACTCCAGCTTCTGACGGTTCAGTGCCCGTAACTAGAAGGAACTCGGAAGGGGTTGGAGACACAACGTGGGGTTTGAGCCGAGGAGGCGATGCTTTAGGAGGAGGGGGTAGTGATTTTTGGGCGTTGGAAGAAGATTGCTCTGAGCCTGAACCAACTGCTTCTGAAACTGGTCCTGATGTATCGGGGGATTTTCCCTCTGGGGAGCCTGGGCATCCGGGGGCTTTATTCCCCAAGGAATTCTCGGAAGCTAAGGAGCTCGATCGTTCAGGAAACTTCGGATGCGGGCTTGGTTGGGAACGTCCAATGTTATTAACTGCATATAGACTCGCACTTCCACTATGTCCCGGTGCATTTCCGTAGGAAGTAGAGAGGTTTCCTTGAACTGGAGCATCGGTTTGAGCTGGTATATCTTCCACGTGGCCAGACTCGAAACTCTCTTCCGATGATGAAATCGGAAATAGAGGAATTTTTTGGAGGTGTTCCACTTCCACTAGAGAGTAGGAATATGAGTCTGCGACGCAGGCGATCGTATCTCTTCGAACGGATACAAGACATCCTGGGAATTCAATGTTTCTTACCCTTCGGGGTTCATCGCCAATCCTAACCAGCATTATTCTATTCGAAACAGCAATCATCACCACAGGGCTAGAAGTCTCTCCATTCTCAATGGATTCATTAAGGTTTAGTCCGCCAATCCATTTACAATTGCCCACTTTTGTGCCCCCGTAGGTAGGGCTGAGTTCCGGGAGCGAGTAAAAGGTGACGACACCATTGCATAATATGCAAGCTTTGTTTGTGGACGGAAGAATAAGTATCTGTTGCACCCCCGAGGGTGATTCTGGTGGTAGGCTGCTCTTCGAAGACGTGATGGGTAATCTTGATGCTAGAATGAAAGATGATTCATTTGATTCCTCAGAATCGGAAGGGAATGACACGAAATGAAGGATCTCGCCGGCGGAGTTTCCAACGTAAAGATTATCCTCTATTTCATGTCAGCCAACACTGCTGTTAATAACTCCCCAAAAGAGGAAATGCTAGACATACTCCAATATTCTACACAGGTGATATAGCCATCCTCGGTCCCTTCTCCTGCCACAGGAACCGGATCTATGAGCTGTCTCAGGACATAAGGACCGGTTTCAGAGGGATCTATGCGCCGTCTTTTGCGGGGACCATCGGTATCGTCACCTGAACTCATCGTCTAGCTCGAACCCAATGTCTCGACATCTCCCAGCTGACATGAGCAGCTAATGGGTATGGTGTTGAATGTTAAAGGAGATAGTTTTGTTTGCCTCAAATGCGGCGTGACGGAGGAATGTCAGTAGACGTTGATGGAACAACGTTGATCCGGCCAAGGTGATTCAACCATCTCACTGTGATATCAACAACTACTGTCAAACTGACGACATACATTGGACATCAGTCGACCCAATCGTTGCAGAAGACTTTATGTAGATTGCATATTCAACTTGCTCGTTATAGTATGCTTAAGTTATATGCCTGAAACGGCCTGAACTTTGTGTTAGCCTCATGGATGCCCTGATTGCATCTGAGACCGTGCGAGATGGGAGTACGTCAACCGAGAACAGCCCTTCGGGTGAACCTGCGAAATCTGAGAAGCAGGTCCGCGAGGAAAACAAGTTCCAGCGGGCTATTGCAGTATGGAGAGGTAAATTATGAAATGATCCGCGAAATGGAATGTGACCAAATTTTACTCACTCAGAATCAAGGCGTCGACTTGGCGAACCTCATTCCGAAGCTAGATACCACGGCATCGGATATCATAGCTCATCAACGAGATTCTCTGGTGCAGCGCAAAGATCTAGCTCAGAAAACTAAAGATTTTAGGAAACTCGACGACTCAACAAAACTGGCTGAATACAAAAGCTTGTTAAAGTGTATGAGAGAATTTCCCCAGCTTACTTCCTTGTTGTCAATAGCTGCTGACCTCGAAATCCTGCAGCATACCAAACGTTTATTGATCTCCTGACCAACCATGGGAAGGCTTCTTCATCCGCCTTTTTACAACTATACTCTGCTCTATCGGAAGCCCCCGATCCATATCCTCTCCTCGAAGCGTCCGTAGATTCTTTGGTCCTGTCTGAAGACACGGTTCCTAAGCTAACATCCGAGAAAGAGCTTTTGCAAAAGAGCGTAAATCGTCTGACGTCTCAGTTGGAGGAATCGGAAAAGAAGTTGGAGGATGAACGATCTTTCCGTCGCAAGCTCGAAGAAACTCAGGACACGAAGATTCAGGAAATCGAAGCGTCATGGGCCGCAGTGCTAGCTGAAAAAACAAGCAACTGGGAAGCCAAGGAGAAGAATTATGAGGCCAAAGCTGAAAACCACGAACGGCTACTGAAGGAAATCAAGGCAAGCTACGAGGTAAACCAAAGGTTGGACCGAGCAGACGGTGAAGACATGTCAAGAAGTGCTGCAACAGCAGCAGAACTTGAAATTGTAGCCTCAGAGCTTGAGAAGACCAGTGTGCGCCTAGCAGAGGTCGAAGCCCGGAACGAACAGCTGAGCCTAGAGCTAGCCCAAGCAGTGTCCCACTCTCAGTCAGAGCACCGATACCACACACTAGAGGACGATCCCGCATTCCTGCGCTTGCAATCTGAAAACTCGTCTCTCTTGCGTAAATTGGATTCCGCTCGCTACGAGAAAGATGCTGAGAGGCATTCTTGGGAAGGAAAGTTCCGACAGGCGGAGAGGCAAAATAAGAAAGTAACTGCTGAAAGAGATGAAATAAAAGCCAAATTGGACAAATGGGCAGACTACGATGATATTCGGCGAGAACTCGAAGTCATAAAGGTAATTACTGTTTTAGTTTCTGATTTATATTGTATGCATAGCTAACTGAAATAGTCTATTGAGTTTTACACGGCGGATGATGATGACAGAGATGCAGTGGACGAGACAGATTTGGTTGCCTTTAACGGCTCTGAAAGATCAAAAGAGAATACCCTAGAACAGCTTTTATTGACTAGGAACAAAAAGCTTTCAAATGAATTGACAATTCTGAGAGTCTCACACCAAGACTTGCAAAACCAACTCGAAGCTCTGCGCGAGGATCTCTCCAAAACAAAAGTGGACCTCGAAAAAGCTCGGAATTTGGCTACTACCCTAGAAAATGACCTTCTCCAGATGCAGAGGGAGGCGCCAAACTTGCCGTCATCTGCCATGTCAGTTGCGGGCCCCTACGTATCCAGGTTACCCCATCCCTCCCGCAGAGGCAGGGCCTCACCAACCTCCTCAATCATATCCGGTTTCGATCATGCAAATGCATCCGCAAACGCAATAGAAGCCATTAGAGCCGGAGAGGCAGTTGGCGGTGGCTCAGGAATTCTACCTATGGTCCAAGCCCAGCGAGACCGGTTCAAACAAAAGAACAGCGAACTAGAAGAAGAGCTATCAAAGACATACGCAATCGTCAAATCCCTACGTCAGGAAGTCGCCTCTCTCCAAAAGGATAACCTAAGCTTGTACGAGAAGACTCGTTACGTTTCCACCTACAATCGCGGCCGGGGAGATGACTTATCCGCCTCATCCGCCTCAGCTTACGCCAATATCCCAAACGCGACATCGGTCCATCTCTCCGCAGAATCTCCATCGGGCCTTTCCGCAGACCGCTACCAGTCCGCCTACGAAGCGCAAATATCCCCGTTCGCCGCCTTCCGCGGCCGCGAATCGGCCCGTGCGTACCGGCGCATGAGCGTGCCGGAACGCATCATATTTTCCGTCACGAGGATGGTACTTGCGAATCGGACGAGCAGGAATTTGTTTGCGGGGTACTGCGTGGCGTTGCATGTACTTTTGTTTGTCATGTTGTATATGATGAGCACGGCGGATATTGAGAGGAAGGCGGCGGGCGCTGCGTTGGGTTCGCTTGGTCAAGCTGCTGCAGCGGGGTCGGTGGGCGCCGCTGCTGGTACTGGGAGGCGAGCTGGAGGTGGTCCTGCTGGTAGTGAATGGCGGCAGGAAACCTTCAATGGTCCTGCGCAATAAATAGGTCGATCTATTCGATTTGATGTCAAGATTCGAGAGTGGTATCAATCATGTTAGTTTTGCGCTGGGTATCCCCTATATATTTGGTTGTTTCTTGTTTCTGGCCACTTGGTTCCATCCATCACAACGTTGCTGTTTCGTTTGATGATATTTTTTCTCCTTTGGTTCTCCCTGACTACTTGCAGGATGTGCATGCGCCGGCCCCAGCAATTATTTTGTGTATTACGTCAAATTTTTACCATCTTGATTTTACGGGCATGTTATATAACTATCTCCTCCATCGCTGCGCATGTATGGATATATATATTGTACTACAAACAGAGTTGATTTCAGCAAATAAAAAAACATGTTAGGTAGATCGTTTTGGTAATGATAGTGGTTAATGCGGCAGCTGTCTTTGTCTTTCCAATTTCCTTGGGACAGAGTCTCTTGGGAGCGACGGGAGCCACGAAACCATGAACCATGGATCGGTGTACCAGTGTACCAGTTAGTTCCTAACCAATGTAAGGGATGGATTCGCTTCCAGGAGAAGCAATGATAGACCGTGAAATTTGTATTCTGGAAGATAGAATGACTGAATAAATATATGACTAGTGAAAGTAATAAAACACGCTCGTCCAATTGACAAGAATCAAGGCGACGCGAGGCGTCAAAACCCAAGAATAGCTCCACAAAACTCCAGCCCACTGTACAACGAAATAAGTTTGAGCGAAAAGGAATCCCGTCCCAACATCCAACAATCTGATAATGTTTCCCTTTTCTTTTCTTATTTTCTTTCTTTTCTTTTTTTTTTTTTCTTTGTTCTTCCCCCTTTTTTGGTTTCCTTGGAGTCTTTTCTTTCCACGGAGAGACCAAAACCAGAACTCATCAAGATCCAATACGCTCCTCAACCCCCCCCCTTTCCCTCCAACCCTTCTTTCACACCCCCTTGAAAACCACCTATCCATAAAACCAGTACTCAGTCGCATACTGCATCTCCAAAACCTTCCCAGCCTCCACTCCCTCACAAGTGGCGGGCGCCTTCCCCCCCGCCGTGTTAACCCGATAGACAGTCTTCGCCTTCCCCGTACTCTCCTTCACCGCCGTGAGCAACAGCCACTGCACAGCCCCATTCATCTGGCCTGGAATCCCCTTCATAGCACCCTTGGGCGCATCGACAGCCGCGATTTTCTCAACGGCAGCACTCCCGTCTGCCCCGAGGTCGAAGATAGGGACTCCCTGGCCGTTGAAGAAGTGGGAGCCGGCTACTTTCATGTTGTTGGGGCCGAAGGTGAAGGGTTTTGAGCGGGGTTGGGGTGGGAAGATGGGTGCTGGGAGTCGGAGGGCGATGTTTGGGAGGAGGGAGAGAAGGTAGGGATAGTTTGAGGCTATGCAGTTCACATCGAAGAGGGTTGCGACGGCGCCGATGGCTTTTGGTTTGTCGCTTGGGGAGGAGCAGGTGTAGTTCTGTTGTAGTGGTGGGGGGGTTGGTTAGTATTTATTTTTCATTATAATCGTTTTTTGGGGATTTCTTTTTCCTGGCCTTGTTTAGCTTTTGTAGATCTATTGACTTGTGCTATTTCTTTCTTTCTTTCTTTCTTTTTTTTTTTTTCTTTCCTTTTGATCACGTTTGACGCGTTATTGTTTGGTTATCAGCCGGCGCATGTACGGCTTATAGCAAGCAAGGTTCAGGAAAAAGAAAAGAAAAGGAAAGAAACCCAGCAAAAGTATCTCCATAAGTCCATACAAGAGCACATGTACCAATTCATATCCAAATTGAGAGAGGGAAAAAAAATATCCAGATATAAAAATTATATAGATGTTCGCAACATACCTGAGTACCCCGTCCAATAGTAACATGTAGCAATTTCTGGCCCTCTGGAACTGGCGGTAGTGGCTCATTCGTGGAGGGCAGCACAGCTTTCGAAAGGTCACATTTTGGACTTCTTGGGTTTTTGTTCTCCTTACGGGCACTGAGGATTTCTTTGAACACACCGGAATAGAACTTGGCAGTGTCTGCAGACCAGCCTGGCGGAACAGCCAGAGCGGTGGAGGCCATCGAGGCCATTGAGACCATCAGGAGGAGGAATTGCATGTTGTGCATGTGTTGTTTCTTGGTGAGGATCTAATTTTTGGCTTTCATAAACATATGTCTCTATATATATGTAGATATATGCAGTTGACATAAAATATAATGGTATATAGATCCCGTATGTAGGATTTCAGGTAGATGTATAGCGGCGATAATGGCAATAACGACGGGAAAGATGGGACACAAGGGGTATATTCGAGAAGAGATATGTAAAACGGACCAGCCTGGTGTTTAGAACGTGAAATAAGTAAGTCGTGAGGATATAATTTAGAAAATACGCAAGGAAGAGGTCGGGGGAAAAAAAAAAAAAGAAAAAGAAAAAAAAAGAAAAGATACAAAAAGGGGAAACTGGAAGAAATGAACACCGAGATAGAAGCAAGATATCACAGAGAGGAAAAGAAAAACAGAATCATGAAAGGAAGTACCATGGAAAAAACACAGCAACTCTTCGAGATCGACATCCCGAATTATATACAAAGAACATGTAGACGCTCAGCAGAAACACCGTAGCCTTTGACGCATTGACACAATTTGGGCTGTTTCTTAGCGTTTCCCGCTTCCAATCGACTCCGCACCCACACCGCCCTCGCTGATTGGCCAGCGGGAGCCCCACCGCAGCGGCTCCGCGGACTCCGCACCCACGCAGCAAGTGAGAGAATTAGAGTAAGGGTAAGGGCCAGGGGTGGGTCCTTCCTGCCCACCTGCGAATTTGGTCCGCCGGGGGGGGGGGGAAACCGGCCGGGAAGAGAAACATGCTTCCCAAAGCGGACTAGCGCTCAGGGTGGAACCATGGAACCGTCTTACTTTAGATCCCCTTGGCCTGATCCCTGTGAGATCGGGGCGTGGTTGGGTTTGAGCATCTCGCCTGTGGGGCTTGTTTATTGGTCCTGGTGCATAGATTCTTAAACGCCGGCCCCCCTTCCCCCCCCCCAGATAGGCTGCTTCTTTGGGTGACACTCAGGAACAAGGTGCGAATAATATGCTGACGGGTTACGGGGGCTGGGCTCAGTGACACTATAATAGTTGAGTGGCTAGGTTCTGCTGGGTGGGAAGGGTTCCCATCCATATGAGGAAGTTGGCCTTGGTAGTTAGTTATCCATATTAGCAGTCAATTAAAAACCACCGCTCGCGCGATGATATTTACAATGCCTGACGATGAGAGCGGTGCCCCTCCAAGAGCAAGCCCGTACAAGCCCGTACGCGCCCGCTGGAAGGCTGAGTGGGAGAAAAGGGAAAAGGAGGATTCCCTAGAGTCTAAGTTTCCCTTGGATAAACCTCTTGCGCCCTCGGGAGGTTTATCTCGACTACTACTCCTCTCTCTCAAAACTCACTACGTATTACTTCCTACAAGTATCTAGGTACTCCCTTCGAAACCACCAGCCTGCACAGTCCTCTTTCTGACTTCAATATCTGAACATTATGTCGGTTACATCTCGAAACGTCTCCTCCACATCTTCCCTACCCCTCACCTTATCTCCCGACTGAGCTAGATAGACAGAACAAATCAACTTCTGGTCATCTTAGTGTTGACTCCTGGAGCACTTTGTTTTGCATTTATGTATGTTCCAAACATACAAGTCCTCCCGTCGAAACCAATCGAAACCATCACCGATGCATTCAACATAGCCAGCTTGCACAAACCTCTTTCTGACTTTAGTCCCTCAATCGGTTGGTTACATCGCGAAACGCCTCCACGATGTCTTTCTTACCCCCTCATCCCAGCCTCCTTTATCGCGATTACTGATTGTGGCGGGGAAACAGGCGATCAAAAGAAAGAAAACCCAAAAACCATTTCGTTGGAGACTAGTTATGGATACTGGTACGCCGTGCTTCACCAGCTCGAGTCTGGCATATTAACTATCCCAATAGGCTATATGCTAACTACGTCGTCACTTTATCTTTGGCGTAAGATTTCTGTAACCAGTGGATGTATAGATTCTTCGGGATTGCGAACATGTAACATCCATTCTCTACCGACTTTCTTCATCGGACTCTGTTGAATTTGGACACATCAATCAGGATGGTGGATACATGTCCAGTTGCAGGGAGAAACTACTGTCCTCTGCTTACTACTTCAAGTGAAACGAAATTTTCTGTGACATCAACACTAAAGGTAGCTTGATATTTTGTACAAATGCATCTAAAATTTTGAGACCTGCAGCTCGGCTGCGCGGAGTGAAACGAACCTCCCCAGGAACCATCCTAAGGCTAAAATCCAACCTACAATCTACAACAAACAAGTCTAAAATATCACTTTTTTAGAGCTTCAGCTTGGATGTATAGTGAAACAATCGTCACGCGGACAATCACGCCGAAGCTCAAATCCATCCTGACGTGTTTTACAAAATGCATCTAAGATATCACTTTGAGCTGCTATAGTGAAACCTGCCACAGTTAACTACTATGAACAATCCCCGAACTAATGTATGACGATTTACAAACTAATATCAACTCTTGGGATATGAATCACACTGTTTCAAATGGGACTCTGGAAGAAAAAGAAACAGAAAGAAGAAAAGAAAAAAAAAAAAAAAAATTCCAAGCCAGCTGATCCGTTGCACTTGAGATTATCAGTGACAAAAACCTCAAACCTCAGAAATAATAAAGTCCAATTCAGGATCTAAGTCTCTACCCCCAGTGCATCTCACATTTATCCTTCTCTGCTTATTATTACCCCCCCTCTCCAAGCCGCTGCCAAAACTCAAAATCAACTCCAGATGTAACCTCTTCAGCACAACACCATGTCATAAAAGAGATCGTACTCATCAAGAATTTCCCAAAGTTTGGTCATCCCAGCCATAGCATAGGAAATGAATAACCCAGGAACAATCAATTCCCCGCCCATTAATTATTATTCCCGCAGACGCCTCGATTGCTAATGTCTTAGCCGGATAACACACACGCGGCGAGGGGTTACATGTACTACCGCTGCAACTCACAAACTCATCTGTCGTTCTGTCTGTCTGACAGTGGACCTATCCTGCAAGCTCACAAACAAATTCAATTTACCTCGTAAGCCAGCACAAGGGGAAATCGTCAAGGCCTAGCAACGGGGAATGTTATTTAGCGTAGTCCGCGCACTTCTGGTATGTATGATCATGCATATGATGGTTCTCAGGAGAAATGTAACTCCTCCTATAACCCCTCTCCTTTTCATTTCCGCGGAATCAGCATGTCTGTTCTATGGTGTAGACAAGTTAGCACAACTACCCCGTCCCCCGGAATCGGGGAAATGGGGTGGTGTATGCTAAGCATTCATGGCTAAACCACAGGAGGTTGTTGCGGGGATATTCCCCAGTAAACCCCCCCCCTCCATAGCGATCCAGCATGGAAGGATTCAAGTGTCAACATTATTGTCAAGGCATGAAAATGACGACGGTGCATCTTAAATCTCAATAAGTTCTTCTCAACAACCAGGGGAACTTGTTGTAATTGAATAAATATATATGACTACATTCCCTGCATTGTTCAAATATTCTGCATAAGTGGTAAGACAATTTCCGATGACATTTTAAATTCCCACCATGTCTAGATATCATTACGAAGGTGTTGACGAAGAGAATTGAACATCCTCTCTCGTCGGCTGGGGTTTCTGCAAGTTGAGGTTCAGCGGCTGCTCTCGATTTCGATATATTTACCGATAATCGACAGCAGGAAATTAGCAACGCTAACTAATCATGGACTCTAAGCAATGATGAACTCGTTGTTTGGAGGAACCAGCCATGCACGAAATGAGAACTAACCTGGGTGGGTTAGATAACCTGCCCGTCGCGATCCCTGGTTGCATGGGGGTTTCCACCTGTCAGAGTGTGTCTGCTTTTGGCGCCCAGTTAAAGGGGCTCAATATTCTCGGAATCGTTGATATCGAAATTATCCTGCCCGCTTTTTATTTAACGTGCTTAAAGAGAACCTTGATCGACGTTTGTCCCATTTCCATAAGGTGTGTTTGGCGTCATGCGAACAGGCATGGGACTAAAGGGACACAAACTACGACATCAAACCACCGTGCCAAATTGTTTACAGTCGCCAGGGCGTTCCCGGGGGTTTCGTGGTGCCAAGTTCTAGATCCGAAAATCGCATTTCGATCGCTTCCAGAAGAGGACTGGCAGGTTTGCATTGGCCATTGACTGTGCGAATTCTGCTTGAGGGCCACTTGATACGCTGTTGAGCTAGGTCTAATGCTCTGGAATCCTCAGATTTAAAGAATTTCGATCGAGTCCATTCTTATATTTAGATACGAATAAACTGTAGTGGCTGTGAGGCAAAGTTAGAAATATGAGTTTTCGTGGAGTATAAACTATTAATTCGAATCTAATCAACGATTAACTTCAGCTAACCAGTGTAGTTAAGATATATATTTATTACAAATGTTCATCTCTATCAGAGACGCCGTCCGTCGCCTCCATCATCTATGTCGCCATTATGACGATCACCATTATAAGGACATCCTAGAATTGTTTCACACCATTATCATTCCTCCTATTATTTTGCACTGTGTACTTCCCATGCTAGCCAGCTCAATCCCATTACACATAATGACTGCGAGTTCAAAGCAACTGCCCTTTTTTGTGAGTATCATTGCCAATCTCCTACAAATCTGAATCCAAAAACTCTTCCCCCCACCCACGCGTGGTCGATTCGTTCAAAATGAGGTTTATAAAGCCATGCAGCGATACATTCACTTTAACGTTGAGCAGTTAATTGATGTCGGGGCCCAGCGGAGGAAGTTGGCATCAGAACTTGCCTTAACTTTGAGAGATATTTTGATAGCATGTGTAATAGAGCCTTTTCGCTCACTGTGGACAATCTATATTATCGCCGTGTTTGCAGCATGGTGGTGTTCCTGCCGGGACATCTTCATGGACCCCAAAATCCTCACAGAAGCTCAAAGAAAGTCTACAGCTCTATACTCAAGTACGCTCTATGTTAGCTATATAAGACTTTTACTCATTTGACGAACCCGAGACTATATCGGCTGCTAGAATACCAAGAAAGCAGTATCTTTGACCTGCTTATTGTAGCTCGATATCTAACAATTGACAGCGAGGCGAAGCATCTAGTTCTGATTGGTGAACAAGAACCCAGACGGGCAGATCTTCAAGATATTGCAGTGTCAAATGACGAAAGTCGATCGCATCTCTTCCACTTTTCCGACCAGAAAACATTGGAGATTGACAAAGATCAAGGATATCGTCAGAGATTTGTTTTCTGAACACCGGATTGTGAGATCAGAGCAGGGTGGAAAGATCAAGGATGCTCTATAGAGCACCTTAAGGCAAGGCATTATAAAGTGGATTCTCCCAAAACCCAGATCAGGAGAACAGTTTAACGGTTTGACGAACACTGATGTTAGTGGACTTGAATATGTTACTAAAGTTGTGCCCATACGCAGGTTGAAATAGGCATTTGATCATTAAACGGGGGAAATAGCCTAAGTCGATGGAGACGGGGAACGGGTCCAGAGCCTGATGCCTCCTGAGAAGGCGGTTTTGAGAACCCTTGGTGAAATAATCGACTCCTAGCAGCAGCAAGAATGCTCAATAATGCTGCGTTGCCTCCACCTTAGCCATCTTGTGACATGCGTTATGGGCGTTGGTGATCATGTGGAGGTACGATTGTAGGAAGCATAGAGCATTGCCCCTCAGGAGTACGCCCTAACATGTCGAAATGTAAGATCGAGCGCAAAACCCATTGGCCAGTGAACTCATTGTTCAGCCCACGGTTTTCTGCATGGCTAGTTCTGCATGGCTAGATTTGCTAAAATTGGCCTTGCCATTCTGCACACCTGGGCTACTTTGGAATATTATCATGGCTTTCTGTCTGTATGGATGGCACTACGTCATAAAGTGGCTGCCCTGTGTTAAGCGCCCGGCCTCCAGGCTGCTAATATCATGAGGATCATGCACCCACAACACTGGCTCAAAAGGCCTCACAGGGTTCTGGAGGGTGTCTGATATCTCTGTTTTATTTTTATTTTGAGCTTGGAAGTTCAGATATGAACGTTGACCTCAACCGATTCGCTGGCGAATTGTGAACTTGTCAAAACGGGCCAGATTGTAGCCTGATCGCTTGAAGGTTCTAAAAATAAATGGGCTTCTACAACCGAGAGCTCGTTGCCTTTGGTATCATTATTCTCCCTCCAGCTAAATGCAGAACTCTGGCGAACAAGAATGCAGAAAGAATGTGATTAGTTCAGAGTCGGGACATCTCATGAGCACGACTCAGTCAAGATTAAAAATCAATTCAGCGGCACCACCCCTTAACCAACCCGCGGCCGTTCAACCAAATTCCAGAAGCAAAATAGAAAGCAGGAGAATACTGAATGGCAAAGCCATGATGTAAAAAGAAAATTTATTGA